GAGTGAGTGAGTGAGTGAGTGAGTGAGTGTGTAAGTGAGTGAGTGAGTGAGTGTGTGTGAGTGAGTGAGTGAGTGAGTGAGTGAGTGTGTAAGTGAGTGAGTGAGTGAGTGTGTGTGAGTGAGTGAGTGAGTGAGTGAGTGAGTGAGTGAGTGAGTGAGTGTGTAAGTGAGTGAGTGAGTGAGTGTGTGTGAGTGAGTGAGTGAGTGAGTGAGTGAGTGAGTGAGTGAGTGAGTGAGTGAGTGAGTGAGTGAGTGAGTGTGTAAGTGAGTGAGTGAGTGAGTGTGTGTGAGTGAGTGAGTGAGTGAGTGAGTGAGTGAGTGAGTGAGTGTGTAAGTGAGTGAGTGAGTGAGTGTGTGTGAGTGAGTGAGTGAGTGAGTGAGTGAGTGAGTGTGTGAGTGAGTGAGAGTGTGAGTGAGTGAGTGTGTGTGTGAGTGAGAGTGTGAGTGAGTGAGAGTGTGAGTGAGTGAGTGTGAGTGTGTGAGAGAAAGTGAGTGTGTGTGTTCCTGTGTGTGTGTGTGTTCCTCCACCCACCTGCAGCTCCTGAGCACCATCATCTGTGTGAGTCTGCATGTGCGCAGCCGCAGCGAGCGCAGGTCCTGCAGACGGGCGAGAGACAGCAGCCCCGGCCCGACCTCCTTCCCCCCCAGGCTGAGGCGCTCCAGGCCCGGCCAGCCCTCGCCCAGGCCCAGCGCCACCATCTGGGTCCGGCTGCCCGTCTGCAGCTCCAGCTGTGTGAGGCGCGCGAGTGTGTGTGGGCCGGGCGGCACGCAGCTCTTCAGGCCCGCGACGGTCACGCGGATCAGGTCGCGCAGCTCCAGCCGGGTCAGGCCTCGCCACGCGCTCAGACTGCGCAGGTGCTGATCCGAGAACGACGGCACGCTGTCCAGAACCAGCGTCTCCACGCCGTCGCCCTCGCAGAAGAAGCCGGCCGGCACCTCACAGAAGTGCAGCTCCAGCACCTGTGACACAAGTCTCTCAGCTTATCACCAAATATCTTCGTGGAACATGATCTTTACTTAACATCCTAATGATTTTTGGCATAAAAGAAAAATGTATCATTTTGACCCATATAATGTATTGTTGGCTATTGCCACAAATATACCCATGCGACTTATGACTATTTTTGTGATCCAGAGTCACACATACGAGATCTCTAGGCAAAATAACTGGTGTCTGATCCCGTGAATTAAACAACAAAAGGGAAAAGCATGATTTGTAAATCTACAGAACAGCGGTGTGTTGAGTGATCGAGGTGACGAGCACCTGCAGTGAGAGCGGCAGCAGCCGGACGCTGGGTAAGCCCCGCAGATCTGTGTGTATGAGGCAGAGTCTGCGCAGACGAGGACACTTGGAGCGCAGCGCGCGCAGCCAGGACTCGCTGAGGAACACGCCGGCGCGCGCAGACAGGAGCAGACCGCGCAGACGCAGGAGACGCAGCCCGTGACCCAGATACTGACGCAGCAGAGCCCACAGCACTCGAGACGTCACCTGACACACACACACACACACACACATCAGGCTGTGTTCAGGAAGTGGTGCAAGTATGGCCTGGAAAGGTTCAGGTTAAGGAAATGCTCAAATTAAATGTATTGTTTTTTAAACACTCACTCTCACTCAGTATTTCTGGCTTGTATTCCAGTCCAAATATCTAAACATTTTTAAATCAAGATGCATTTACTAAAGTAGTAAAAGGCCATAAAATATTATGTTTTATTTTCTAGGGAAATAAATGAGAGAGTTATTGTGTGTGTGTGATTCTTATTCAAATTTATGTTAATCCAGTTTATTTATTAATTTTAATATTATTGTTTATACATGTAGTTTTCCTCTACTTTTTTCCCGGCCCACTTCAGCCTGAAACTCCTGAACTAAAGTACAGTAAAGTACAGTACAAAACAACAACATAAAGACAATAAAGATGTTGAAACTCTCACTCTTTTCCATGTGGACAGATCGACAGCTCTCCACAGTCTCTGGTCCTTCACCAGCTGCTTCCAGCGCCTGCACACTCTACACACACACACACACACACACACACACACACACACACACACACACACACACACACACACACACACACACACACACACACATATATATATATGTGAAAACATCACACGCTTTGGTTTGTTTGTGTTTGATGACTTCCGGTGTCTGATCGCCGTCTATTATGTGACTGAAACGACAGGATCTCTCACAGTTGTTACTGTAAATCACTGCTAACTGATGTTTCTACACGATCATCATTACAATAAATTAATTGTATAAAAAATCATATTCGATAAAACAAATCAAAACAAACACTTTCACCGACCGAATTGGACTCACGTGTAACTAACACAGTTATTGTATGACATGACGCGATATTGTACCTGGAGTTGCGCACGAGTTCTCGCACATTTAAATAAGATAAAATATCAATTAAAATGTTTTCAGGAAAAAAGTCCAGAGTGTAGCATCTCACCGCGTCCATTTCAGTGCGGAACCTTCATCGCCCGC